TATCATCAGCAGGAATGTGATAACTTAGTAAAATCTTTGAGCCTTGATCTATGTACATAAAATAATTAGTTTTTTTTATTTTTTTATTTTTATTTTTTTTTTTTTAATATTACCTTCGATATGAAGTGCTGAAATTATTTGAGAAAAGCTAGTACCTTTGGTTAATTCTTTTTTAACATTTTTTGACTTGTTTTTCTGTAAAGTAATTATTTTTTTAATTTGATTGTTTCCATTATCTATTTTTTTTTTTCTTCTTGTTCCATATACTCTAATGCTGTTGGTAATCGTTTAGTTCCAGAAGGTCGGCCTTTTCCTTTAATTCCTTCAGGCACTTTGATATCAGAAAGTTTATCTACCAGAATTGATAAAACATCATCAAGTTTATCTAAAAGGATAGACTTTTGCTGTTTATCCAAAAAACTTATATATCATGTTTCTATCATATAAAGCTTAGACTTGAGCGAAAAAAAGCTATCAGAATTAACTGAAGCTATTATGTGACTAGAATCAGGCTGATCTTGATCAGGAAACAATAACCATCTTTTTGAAATACTCGACAACATGATGGGACCTTTCCTTGGAAGCATATGATGACAAGGTATATTAAAATTAACACGCAATTCATACAAACAAGCATCATATTCGGTTGCACTAACAAGTTCATTTTTAATATTATTGAGCGCAAATTGTGATACCTTTCCAAAAGTGGCCCTAACATTTTTTATCATCTTGTATTAGCAACAGATCGATACATATGCTTTCATTTTCATACTGTAATAAACTTTCTTCATGATGTAAATGCAGCTATCTATCCAAAGAGTTGAAGGCCTTGGTCAAACTTCCTGATGATTCAAGGGCATGCATCATAGCTGAATATGCACCTTCAACACATTGTGTTGTTGTTGCACCAAAGTGCATTATCTTGCTCATATATACGCCAACCTATCTTTTCTTAAACTTCATCGTCCTTAAATTTTTAAAATATATGATACATTAAATTAAAATTTGATTTTTAAAGTCCTACAAACTTAATAAATCTGTTTGCACAACTGGTCGAGTTAAGATCATAAAAAAATGTTTTTATACATGTTTTTTTTTTGAGAATAAAATTAAAAGCTAGGTTTATGGTCAGTTTTTAAAATTTTATATTATGAGGACCAAAATATTTAATTTGGCATTTAATTTAAAAAAAATTTTTTACCTGTCAAGATATTTGATTACTTCATCTGCATTTGAACTTAATACTGCTAGTTTCTTGTAATCAGTAATTGCGGAATTTAATGTCTTATAGTCCCTTGAGTTGATAAAAGAATCTATGGTCTAAATATCACATAGCGAATCATCGTTGAAATATTTTCTCAATTTTTTTTAAAATTATTCAAGATGTGCCAAGCGTACAAAAGATTCTCAACTTTAGGAAAAATTCTTCTAAGAGCACCAATAAGTGCAGCTTGATTGTCGGTTACAAATATGAAAGAAATAACATCAAAAAATACAAGGGAGGCAAGCTGTTTAACGATCCAAATATATGATATTTCTGATTCATCTGAAATTCAAGCTCCAGCAATACCAAAGGTTTGTAACTTACTAACTCCAAGATTACTGACATCAACAAAGTTTACAAATGGCAATTTATAAACATTTGTCTTATAAGTAGCATCAATTAGAACTACTTCTGGAAAATGTCTTGCACTCTTAACCGAATTAATGTGACAAAAAATAGATTTTTTAGACACCAACTACATTAAATTAAAGATCAATAATATAAAATAGGTTAAGTGTTGGGAAAAAAATCAAATTGCAAAAAAAAAAAACCAAGTTTGCTAATTCAAAATTAATTCAAACATTTTTCACTTAAAATAATGCTGTTATATTAAATTTTTTATGATTTAATATAGAATTCATAATATAAATAATTTTCAGCAAAACTATTTGTTAATTTATAAAATACTTTCTTTATGATTTTCATGATGCACTGTATATCCTCTTTCTTCCATGCCAATTATCAATGCCTCCATTGAAGCAGTTTCTTTGAAAGAGTTAATTTTTAAGCTTAAATTAGCTATGTCCTTTCTAGTCACAGTCGGATTTCCATCTTCATCTCTAATAGCTTCATAAACTATACTGAGTTTTGCCCCTGCTTTTAATATTCGCACAGCTGTACTTTTTGCTTCCCGCATTAATTGACAATGTTCATAAAAAATTCTTCAATCCTTAACTATAGAAGAATTGTATTCGTTTGTTATTTCAATAATACACCATTTAAAATTTTTTCAAACTGCTTTTAAAAGAAATTGGCATCCACAATGTTTACTCATTCTCTTCCTTTGATGCATATCTACTGTCAAATTTGAAGTATTACGAGGTTGGCCACCATGCTTGCATTGAAGATGAAAATGACAAGGACCACTACTTTTGACCGTTACTGCAAATCCAAGATGCTGGGCAATTCTCTGTGTAATATTAAGAATATCTTTTGTTGTGGCATAATCTTGTCCAACTATTTTATTAACTAAAAAAAAAAGAAAAAAAAAAATATATATTAGTATAATAATACCGATTCATAATAATACATATTTTAAAAAAAATCAAAAAAATGCATTTTTCAATGTGTCATTTTCATTTAATTTATTGTATTCAACATACAAATATTCGTGGTCTCTTTTTCATTAAATCTGACTTTAACTTCCTTCTTAGTTTCGATTTTGCTTTCACTATCAAACGTAATCTCATTTTCATTATTAAATTCGACCTCTTCATTACTGGTCTCATTGTTCTCCACACATTCAATTTGTACTTCCTCAAAGTCATGGATATTTTGGTTCTTAAAACTGCACATTTCTATTTAAGTATTCAAAGGGATACAAAGGCAAAGTTGCCTTTTGTATAAGTATTGTAACATAAAGTTCTGATCTGGCCAAAAATAGAAATTCGGATATTTATTTAAATGTCCAATACATATCTAATATGTATAATATATTCACTGAATATCTCCTAAAATATTATTGGTCAAAAATTTGGGGTGCTTATAGTGATCATTGCTGTGTTGATAAGGAGATAAATCACATGTTGCTGTGTCGGTAGTTATCTCCTTCTGGTCAAATTTGTAGATCATTTGACCTATTGGAGATTTGTTTAAAACTCATCTTCAATAGGCCAAATGATCTGCAAATTTGACCAGAATTAGATTGTTTTGAAAATATCACTCAATTTTTTACTAAGTAAATAAGTAAATCTCTTCATACTTCTAATTAAAGTTGTAGAAGAAGAAATTCTGATTATTATGATAATAAACTGCTAAAATTAGCCCAATATATCATGAGATATGAATATTTTTATTTTTGCCTTATTTAAATAAACAAAAAAGGAAATGTATAGTCGCGAGAATTAAAATCCTCAAATCTCATTATCTACTGAGTCAATATTGATTTTTTAACCATAATTATAGCCGAAATTTCTTCCTCTACAACTT